CTGATGTGTGTGAAGTGCTTTCAAATTGACCTCTTGTAAGCAGAGATGTGTGACAGTCTAGTACAGCTCTCCATCCATCCATCCATCCATCCATCCATCCATCCATCCATCCATCCATCCATCCATCCATCCATCCATCCATCCATCCATCCATCCATTCCTCCTCAGCCCTCCGTCCGACATGCAGCTGTAGCTCCTGCAGAGCTGTAAGTTAGTCCCACTACATCAGGGGTAGAAATGCAGAAACAGAACTTTGTCAGAGATCTCTAGAATACCTTTTACCCTGTCTGATGCAGACTTGAGGCTTTGGGAAAAGGTATACGGCACTTTCACCTGCCTTTCTTCTTCAAAAGAACAATGGCCCTGTAAATTTCATGTGAATGTTGATGAGATTCCTTCTCCACATTTACAGATAAAATAATTTGGAGTAGTGTCTAAGATGTTGATTGCTCTTTCAGTTTCATCCTTTGGATTGCTTTCTGTTTTCTAATAATTTTCAAATGGGGTTGTTTTCTTTCCAGCTGTGGTATTTAGTACCACTTTCCAGTTCAGAATGTCGCAGAGAAATTGGAAGTGTAAATAATATTTACCTTCCACATAGCAAATACTGTCACCGTCCCAGCTTTCTGGTAGTTTTGAGCTTGCCTGTGTTCGAGGGAGTAATCATTCTTTTGTAAATAAGGGTTGAGGGAGAGCTAGTGACCTGTTCAGAGGATTAGAGTTTGTGTGTGATCAGACCGGCGTCTCAACCCTGATGAGATCTCCTCGCTTCTGGTGAACAGTGGAGTGTGCTTACCAAAGCTGCTGGGAAGCTTGTAATGAAGCTTTGAAGCTGAAGAAAATCAGATTTTTTACTCACAGAGGGAGGCATTCCTGTCTGTACGTGTAGGTCTGTTTGGTTGGTCTGCTCAGTGTCCAAGTGTGGCAATGATGTGCTGGCATTTCTGTGTCAAATGGTTCTGACTGGGCTTCTTTTCAACAGTGGCGTCTGGCACCTTGTCTGTTGTTATGGGAATGAGATTTTACAACTCCAAAAAGGCAATGCCTGGGATAATTGCTGGTGCCAGGTAACCCTCTGTCCTTTGTTCTCATCTATATTATTGAATAGACATTTTATTGAACTTATTTGTGGATTATATTGTTTTAAAAATGTTACATGGTAAGTTCTGTAAAAATGAAATCTTGTGGTGGTGTTCAGCTAAATGAAATTATGTCAGTGTTTTCTTCCTTCTTGTTCTTTATGGGATTTTTGCCTCCACCTCCCTCTTTTTATAACAACTATTCTGTTCCACAGTTTACTGATGGTTGGACGGCTTGGATTGCAGATGATGGAAAAAACCTATTAAGCTATAAGTCTGCATCAAGTGACTTGAAGACACATGACTGAGAAGCCCCAAAATGCAACTGCCTAAATGTGCTGCACATAAGTGGAAAAGGCACTGCTACCTGTGCGTTGTATTTTTCATATCCTAATGCACGTGGGTTGTATTTTTAAAGGACTGACATAGAGAGCCCTTGTCATGGATTTGTTTTAATATTTTCTGCTCTGAAAGCAAGCAAGAAAATATGAGTATAGCATCAGTTTAGCTTCTGGTCCTGCAACTTACTTTTAACAAAAACCTCCTGGTCCTTGCATTCAGATATATCCAGGACTGAAGCTTAAATGCACATCTGACTTGTCTGTCTAAAATCATGTATACCTCTGAAACCAGGGGAGAGGAGTTGCCAATTTGTCACTAGCAATTAATACAATAAACAGGTTTATGATGTTCCATTTTCCTTTCCATGCCAGTTTATCCATTCACAGTGTTTGTCAGTCAGGAGGTTTGTTCTCCCAACACTGTGTTTGAACCTGGTCCCACAAAACACAGTCCTGGAGCCGGCTGTCAAGGCTCTGCTGTAATGCAATAAATGCTTTCTCATGCCTTGCAATCACTTGTAAGCTCAGCTATATGTCATTCATTTCACTTCTACAGATTACTACTCATAAATCAAAAATATGCTTTATTTGGTAATACTGAATTATAGGCACAGCTTTATTAAAATGTTATTTTAAATAAACTAAGAAATTATTATTGCAAACTTTCGTGTTCTACACAGTGTATTTTGTCTCTAATTGTTCATCTGGACTGATACAGTTTGGTGCCTTTCGTGCAGGGTGGCAGGATATATTTGTGAGCATGAATTATATAAATAATCTGTTCTATCCCTGAATCTAGTAACTTGTAAATATAAGAATCTGAACTGGGAGGGAGAACGCAAAAGCATACAGACCACATATTCAGACAAGTGTATTAAAGGTTTTAGTTTGGGATTAGGTTCTTTTTTAATTTGTTTGTTTTTCCTTAGGGGATAATCTGTTTTTGATGTAGAAAATACTGTATGAAAGTTTATTTAAAGACCAAAGGGCTTATTTGATCAGTCTTTGTCCTCAGTTGATTCCCTTAATGCCTGAAATCATTCTAAATATAAACCTTCCATAGAGAAATATCCTGGAAGAGACACATGGATGGTAATGTATCCCTTTTCTGGTCTCATTTAACTTATGTCCCTTTTTGCACAGATCCTGAGCTTCAATTTCTTCAACCTTCTTTCTTTGGTGCCTGGTACTGAGAGAGATGGAAGCAAGAGGGCTGGTCCATTAGATTGGTGAGACTCTGGAGTTGCTCAGAATTCTCTGAGTATCAGGGTAGTACCTTGGCAGGAGGGTCACATCCTGTGGTTTTTCTTCCCTCCTCCCTTGTCGCAGCAAAACAGGCAGGGCAGTGACCTTGTGCTGCGTGAGCAGGAGGCGCAGAGCTGGGCCAGTGGCCACAGCCAGGCTCTGCCAGCAGGGCAGTGGTTTGCCAGGCAAGTCACAGGGATGAGGCAGGGCTGAGGTCAAGCCAGGACGCCAGGTCAATCAGACTGAGTTCCAGATCTGCAGGGACATGGCCAGGAACGGGTGCAGCTCCAGCAAAACAGTATCAGCAGCCTGGTCCCAGGCCAGACAACTTGGGTCAGAGCTGGCTTGAGCACAGACAGATCTGGAATGGGAACTGTGCTCAGAGCATCTTCTTAGAGCCTTTATTCATCACCCTGCAGAGTTCAGCTTCAGGTGTTCACCTGTATTTACATTTCTCTCCTACCTCCCTGCATAGAAATAAGGGGTGTGCAGGACAGCAGATGGTTTGTTAGTATGTCATTCTTTTAAGTGTGTAGCATTGGTGGGCAGGTTTCTCCATGTCTTTGTTCTAATTTGAGAAAGTTAGTAAGGCAGACATTAGCATTTAAGACACTTCTCTTTAAACTGCTTTATGGGGGATTTTTTGCCTCTTCATGCTACTGTTGAAGCAGTTTTCCTCTGTAGGAGTAGGATGCAAATATAACTGCATCTCCTGAAATAAACTGAGAACAGTCATGACCCAGCAGTTTTGTAATTGTATAATGCTGGTCTCAAATCAGGTAACTTGTGAATTTGGATTGCAGTTGTCTTTAACATAATAAAGACAATAGAAAGCAGAAAACCGGACTGGTAAGCTTTTAAACTTTTAGATCAGTGTGAACCCCTGCTGTTGTTTCCTTAGCTTTGGAAAGCAATAGGTTGACTTGAGAACTGCTTGTAGAAGTCATTTAGAACTTGTGGTAGAACGCTTATGCTCAGGAGAAACAGCAGTAATACAGGCAAAGGGACAAGACAAAAATCTTAGCCTTACATGCTTTTTACGCCTTTGAAATTTTATTAGAATATAATATTTTTTTTAAGCATTTCTGCACTAGCAGTCCCATGTGTACCAACAAGTCAGACTTAAATGATTATACAAAACCTGTTAGCCTTTTTTTGCTGTTTGCAACAATAATTTTTCAACACTTGTTATGCTTTGCTTGTGGACACGTACAGACTGATCTGGTTATGTCAAAGCCCTTTCAAGGTTCATTAGCATGCGACAAGGACAGCATGTTTCTTCTAACCATATTTAATGCCATAAACAGTACCCGTTTGTTTTTCTGCTCTAAGGTGACTCACAGACACGTGAGCTATGGGCACATTATTGGTAAATTCCTTGACCAGGCTGTGATTTTTCACTGTCATTGGCATCACACACTAGAGACAAGTGATTAATTTATTTTGTTTTTTAATTATAAAATCATAGCTTTTATGCTTGTTACAAACTGTCTGAGGGTGTCCTTCATTGCCATAGCAAGTTACAGATATGTTCTACAGTTAAATTAAGATGCATTTAAGTAGCATAGAGGCATCTCTTAGTACTAAGGAATGAGAAATACTCCTAGACCAGTAGCAATTTAATTAAACTCTCTAGTACATTGTTAACCAGACAGCCCTATCCTTGCATAGCTCTACAAGTATTAAAAAAAAGTGGTGTTTTCTTAAAGTGCAATTTTCCTAACAAAATATTTGACTTTTTGGTACAACTGTTTTAGATTAAATTGCTTTCCAGGAAGTTAATGTAATCCCTATGTTATGACACACTGGGTCAACAACAGGAGTTTAAATTTTAATATCCATTTATAAAAGCCATACAAATAATTTTTTTTTACAATGCTTGAAGTCATCATTAACAACTTTACATCTTTAAAAAGCATATTCAGTTTGTACTTTAAAATGGCAAGTTTAATGTTACTATAAAGTCTAAAGCATTTATTCTAAATGTTGTTAACAGAAGTAGCCCAGCTCAACATCCTAATAAACAATTTACTGTACATTGCAAAGTCCTTTGGGCAATATTATTATAAAAGCTGGGGAAGGTACTGAATGAACATATAAACAGTGACATATTGAATTATTAAAGTTTTGTCTGTGTTTTCAGGTACCTAAGTTGGCCTTTAAGATCTAAAACAGAAAGCAATGTCTTTGAAGAACAGACCAATATTCTTCCTCATGTAGCCTATTGAAACTCTGTAGTTTAGTCTGATCACTCAATAAAGATATGTAGGAACAAGAGTTTAGTAATAACTTAGGCATTTTTGGCTAATTCTCCCTTAAAATGACTGACAGATTGCAGTGATTTAGGCTCTTTAAAAGGTTATTGTGACACTCTCTTGACAGGACAGAGATAAATCTCTACAGATCTTTGACCAAAAAATGGCAACAAGTTAATTAAAACAGAAGCTGATTGTTAGGCTTCACTTCATAGCTTGGTAAGTAGTATTCAGTACTTGTTTAGCTATTTTCCAATATTGCATTCAACAGCCCTCTACCAGCCATATTTCTAGACCTTCCTTGGGTAGTGTCTATCAGTGGATTGCCTATGTCCTACTACAAGGGTTTCAGTTCTCATTGCTACGTGAATATTTGCACCTTACAGACCCCGAGTAACTCTCAGTTACAAGTGAGTTCTGAAATCCTTGCAGGAGACTGATGTTTTTCACAAAGCCAGATCTGTGCTTTCACTCTCATCTTCCTGCTAAGGAACCAGCCTAACACCTGGAAGCCTGGTGCTGCTCTGCTTCAGCCCTTCTTCGTGCTACTTGTGTGCTTCAAGCACATCCCAGCAGCACATGTTGCACTGGATGAACAGCCCTAAAGCTAGTTATTCCAAAGAGTACGAGAACAGGAGATCTATCTGTAGAAAACATCAGGTGAAATCTGCTTCTCAGTTTTGGCAATATTTGTTGTACAATACTTCATTGTATCCTACTTTACAGCCAGTATTTTACATGGTAATATATGTACTATACAGGTAACAGAACACAAGGTCTATTTTTTTTCTTTACTGTTGCATAGTCTTAGGAAAAGCTGGAGCAAATAGGCTTTTCAGGTTTCCAAGTGCAGGAGGACTGAACACTGAGCATGTAATATCCACACAGGATGGTATTTTCTATCTGTTCCCTCCATATTTGGCCACCCAGTCTGTTCTCCCATGTACTCGCTGAATTGGGGGGCGAGTTAAGATATTCATGTTTTTTCCTGCTGCATTGAAAGTAGGACCTGGCAATGGAGGACGAGCAGCCTTATTTTTCCAGGAATAATCTGAAAGGTACAAGAACTCAGAATTAATTATGACTAAAAAGGTACTTTATATACCTCTACAGAGAAAAGAATGAGAGCTTACAGATGACTTATGGTACTCAAGGATGCTAATGTAGCAAGATGCTTAGGTCTTCTATATGTCATAAAACACTCTGGAAGGGACCCACAAGGATGAAGAGTCCAACTCCTGCCCCACACAGGACAACCCCAAGAGTCACCATGTGCCTGAGACCATGCTGTCTATGCTTGGTTTCAGATAAGGTTATTTCTTCCAATAGTTTGTGTGTATTATTCTCACCTACTGATTAGTTGTTTTGCAGCAATCCCTCAAAAAAAAACACTGAGAATGAAATTCAGTGGAAAAACGAATGCAAATGTCTACAAGTCTGTATCTCCTATTACAAAACTGGTACAGTATAAAAGTGTTCTTTCTTCTATCTCAAATATTTAAATAAGCATGTCATTATAACACTGAATAATAAGATTCAGACAGCTTAGACTGAAAGACAACTTCTGGAGGCCCTCTTGCTCATTTTGAGATTTTATACCTTTTATTTCCCTCATGCTTAGCTCAGAACTCCAGGTGTACTTGGTGGTAAGTCTTCTTTGCTCCATTTCCCATTTCTTCATTGATTTCCTAGGATTTATTCCAAGTTTGAAAGCTTTTTTTTTTCTCTTAATATTGGCACCCACCTGATCTCAGGCACTAGCAGTAGCACACTAATGTATTTCTGGCCTTCCTATTCAGATTTCCCTTTTTGACATTTCAGGTAGTTGCTACTTCCTCGTGTTTCATGTGATTAAAGTAATTGCCCTGCTGCAGGGGCTGACATTTCTTCATGTTCATGACTAATTCAGCCATTTTCCCCAAGTCTTTAAAATCAGCCAGCCAGGACCCCTTTTATCCAGATTCCTGCTATACCTTTCCCTTGTTTCCTTACCGTTCCTAAGATAAATCCTGCCCCTTCCATCCCGCTTTTGAAGTTTAGTCTTACTATGTACTGATACTCTTTAAAACAAAATTTAACATTTAAACTGAATGGGTGCCTAGGTATCATTCAGTTTCTTAGAGAAAGCCACCTATTTTTGGTAGCGTTTTTCAGCAGCTGATTGAAACTGTTAAGGAACAGGTGAGGAGCAAGACATTTAAAAAGGGGAACCATCAAGGAGCTGAAGCTGGGGGGTCAGGTCTCCCTGACCTCTTTGAAAACTGTTTATTTTTATTGTAGACTGGCATTCCCTATCTTCCATCAGCAAGTATGATTCCAGCCTGCACTATCTTGGCAATAAAGGTCACTTTTCCTGGTATTTTCCTCAGAAAAATGGATCTTGTATGCTACATTAAATTATTTAAAATTATGGCACTAAAAAATTAAACAGAGAAAATTAAAAGAGCAAAAACAATTGAGAGCATAACTTATTACATTTTGGATAAGATAAAGCAAAGGGTCACCAAAAATGTTAATGTTCAAATACATCTAGGAGATCAAACCTGCCATTTGCTATGTTCTTATCTTCTCTCTCTTCCCATACAAGTCTGAAGACTTTAAGGTAAATACGAGTGGTTTAAACGATAGGATTCTTGTTCTTCTCTAGGACATGGAAGAGTATCTTAACTGACTTCCATCTGCCAGCCTTTCTGACTTCTACTATGCATATTCCATTTCTAATTACAGACTATTTCCTTTGGAACACCACATGTGATTCCTTTTGGGGTTTTTTTTTGCACTATTCACAGCAGTCTAGAGAGAATTGCATTTTTTGTCCTCCTGTGAAGTTCCTGATACATGCATTGTGACAAAGCAACTCTCGCAGTTGTGTTTCAGCAATGAATCAGTAAGAAAATAAAGTGCAGCTCCAGCCTTCCTTGGTGGGCTTCTGATCAAGTCAGACACAGAATATGCATAAATCTAAGCATATTATATATATGTATGTGTGTGTGTGTGTGCCATCTCCTTTCCCTCTTGCTTCAGTTCTCTGAAGCCACTTGCAAGTTCTTAAGAGGAGGCAACTCAAAGGAGCATGTCAGCAAAAAGACAACATTATTAAGCAAGACCATATCAGATTGGTCTGCCATGGGCCCTTTGGTTAAACAATTCACCATTGGTTTAGGGCCTTGCTATTTCCTCTGAAGTAACTAGAGAAGTGAGCTGCTGGGTGTGGACAACAGCTCTAAATCTTCACTCACAAATCAGCTTCTCCTGCATCCTGAGCACTCCTGTTCATCTTCTCTGAATCAGAATACATGACAGTGAAGAAGGTGCTCAGAATGTCACCATCACTGCAGAGGATCCAAGGTAACAGTTACATCCAGAACATGTTTCACATTGTTTTTAACAAATGAATGGAGTCCCAGCTACATGACCATTTACTATAGAGTTGTGGAGTTACATGTTTTTACAAGTCTGATTAGCTCATCACCACTAATGAACAGTAGTTTAACAAATGGTCCAAATCTTCTTTGCACCTTTTGTAATTATTTTCTAACAAATATTAGTAGCAGTAGTGTCTCTATCAAGACAGCCTCTAGGCACCTATGTGCAGTTCACTTGTATTAAGAAGAATTTATGCCCTACAATTTTATTTACAAAACTTGAGCAAAACCTTACCAAGGGCTAATACATCTCTTAGGAAGCATGGAAAATGAACCTTTCTCTTTGTCCTGGATATGAGTAGTAAAAGAGTATTTCTTACCCGATACAGGTGCACCAAGAGGTGCTAGCTGTATCCGTTGTCCAGCTGATCCAACTTCTTTTTTATGGAAGGAAGAGGTGTATAGTCCTGATGGGTTGTAGGCACCACTACTTACAAAGCCAGGATTTCCTGTTTACATTACAGAATTTTAGAATTTTCAGCTGCATTCAGAACACTGCCTACTTTTTATAGTCACTTCAAATTATATTTGCAGTACCACAAGAGTACCAAGTATGAGTGTTCTTTACAAACTCCCTAGTGCTTATCTCTTGAAAAACAAATTCACTGAATTAATTCTTTGCTTTGTAGATTAGTTGGACCCTTTTCAGCACTTAATAAGACAGAAATTCAGCAGGAATAAAGACAAAGAGCAGAATGAACATTTCATGAGTACTTCCAGTAAACTTAAGAAGACATAGCAAGGTTTACACTGAATTGCAGAGAAATGTAGATATTACTCTTGTGCTCAACATGTTTGGCCTAAATTTATTGAAAAGAATGGAATCCAACATCTCTTGTGGAAAGTGGTGTACCACTTGGAGTTGACTTTGACAGTTCCCACAGTTGAAAGCCTGCTATAAAATTAAAATCAGACCCAATTATCCTCTCTCTTTAACCCTAGTTTAATTTTATTTGTGCCTAGTTTTGGTCCAGATCTTTCTTTAAAGCAGTGCTACCCTGGGAAGGCTGACATAACCATCCTCATTTGGAAGCTGGGAAGCAATGTACATGTACATGTATACATGTACACACAAAATTAGTGTCCAGTGGAAGATCTGTTACAATACTTACACTCCCTGATCCAAGAAAATGTCTTACTTCTTCATGTCTATCATCACTTGGGACAGTGTTAAGACAGTGTTGGCATAATGTCCAGAGAGAAATGCTTTTCTCTTGTGGTATGGCTGTGTTCAGTAGTATTAAATTTGTGAAGTAGAAGGCTATACAGAGTACTTTACTTTGACTTTCATCAAGTGTGAGCATCTTCATCATAGCCTCAGTAGTCGTTGCAGCAAAACACAGTATCTGCTTTGCCAGTTTTTCTGTCTTCTAAATCTTTGGCCTTTGCGCAATCCCATAAAGTTCCTCTTCACACAAACACTCCCAGACCTCTTTGATAATTTCAGAGCTCAGAGCAGTGGAACTAAAAGGCACAAACTAGGCTGTCTGGAATCCTGCGTTTCCTTTTTACTCTAAGGTAACTCCACCAAAACCTGTGCAAGCAGAGCACTGCAAGATCAGTGTAATGGGCAGAGAATCCAAATGCAGGAAAAGGTGCAAGTCCTGAGTGCTGTCACAAACAACCTATCCCCGAGGGGACATGCATGTGCTGCTTTAGTATCACTTCCTCACCATTACCCAGTGACCTCCTGTGGATTATAATCAGGGTAATAAGATATTCTCTGCCTTTTAAAGCACAGTAAGTTCTAAGAATCCATAAGAAGCCGTAATGTAACAAGGTTTGATGAAAGAGATTGCTACTGAAAATGGAAGTATACAATTATCAGGAACCTGCATTGTAAGTGCAATTTTCTTTACAAGAAACTGTAAAACATAAATAGGAAATGTACAAAGAACCAGGGTATAAGTTACTATAAGTTACCTTTAGGATCCTCTAATTTTTCATTCAATCTTTCTTTGCATGATAGCTTTTCAATAGGTATAATTAAGTTTTCATCTGTAGACAAGAGAAATTAAAGGAAGAAAAAGATGGAAGGACAGAACTTTAGAAGAAGGATATGAAGAACCAGTCTAGGTGATGTAAAAGAAATGAGGAGGGAAAAAAGGCAAGCAAGAATGAATATCTAGCACATTAGTAAATACAATGTCTTATCCTTGTTTTCTTAAGCAGGAAACGTTACTCCAACAAGCTTCTTTACAGGGTCCATTCTAATTATGGACTAACAATATGATTTACCAACAATACAATTACATTCCATTTACAATTTTAAGGACTTGGTAATATCTTCAAAGTTGACAATCATTCATAAATAAAGCATTTATTAACTGTTTGATCTTATTTTGCCTTGGAGCAATGTTGTGGCTGATGTAAAAAAAGCTTACTTAAATAAACTATACATAGTTATTTAAACACAGCAGTGTTCACTTTCAGACTGTCAATATGAAGAGAGAAAAGACATATTTTACATGTCTTGTATTTCTGTGATCCATCTATCCTGGTTTCATGTGTGTCTCTCTTAAATGTTGCTGTCTCCCCAGCATATGAAATATCACATGCAATTTAAGATACTGATGGAAATAATACCAAGTATTTTCAAACAAAACTTAATCAGTTTTAGTGCTTTTTTATCTTTAAATTCTTGGTAGTAAGACAAATGCAGGATTTCTACCATTAGCATTCATCATAATTTTATCTTCAGTGCAGTTCAGTAGGTAGATATCTAGTCTTTTGATGAAAACTTTTGGAAGCAGTTACTTGCTTTTCTGCACCTGAGTCCCTTGCAAGATTATTTATAAATAATTTACTTCTGAAGCACATGGATACTCTATTTCAGAAAACAAAAAAGATATGCAAGATGATTGCTTTAAAAAACCTCTTCTATTCCACAAAAAAATCTGGTAGGTGCTGTTGTTTTTCCACTTTCTAAAATCTTGCACGTTAATTCAGATGAACAACTTCAGCTCACCTGACTTTCAGAGGGAAAAATCAGGTTTGTTGACAGTGCAGAATTCAGACACTACTAAAGTTCTATTAAGAAGGGGTGCAGCATCTGCATGTAAACAAACCTCCTGAAGTTCTTGCTGTACAAGCACGTAAAGCAGGGGGGGTTTATTGGCACTAAAATATTTGGAGAGTGACTCGTGCTAGCAGGACAATGGCTGCAGAGTTGTTAACAAGGTAACCTCCCATAACAGGGACAGGGTACCTGAGGTATAGGACTTGGTGCTGAGAAGACAGATTTCAGTCCAGAGCCTGATGCTTTCCTCACTGAAATCTTAGATAAAGTGTTTAACTAGTGTTCTTCACAAAACATAGTCTCACTTGAAGTTCCTTGCTGGAAATAAGGGGACTGTTCTTGCAGCAATGGATTTAGGACAAAGCCAGTAAATTAATAAAAGATATATCTAAAATATTAGGCAGCACTTTTATTACATGAGCACACCACCCACCCTTTTTGTTTTCGTGGGTGAGGCTGCTGTTTGACAGTGTTCCATGGCATAGGGAGCAGGCAGTAATGAGGCCAAACTACTTGCTTAAATACAGTAAAATGATGGTCTCAGTGGATTATATACAAAATTTATCTTGACAGAACTTTATAAATAGGGGCTAGTTGATACCTTCTGTTCAGAAAGCAAAATACATAATATCACGTGCGAAAAAGTTGTTTTTTAAAGAGTCTCTTGCTAAAACGAGGAAAAAAAAGAGCCTAGAATCTAAGCTTAACTGCAGAAGTTAAATCAGATGGTCTTAACTAAATTAATTAAAGTATAAGGAGATATAATGCGACCATTTTCAATGACACTTTTACCTGTAGTATTTCTGCTGTAAGTCAATCCTCCCCCAGCATTTGCCAGTGATTTAGCAAACAACTGGTTGCTCCAGGTTCCGTGTGATCCTTCTTTATTGACTGCTGCTAAAGAGACACTCTTTGGGTTCACGCCTTAGAAAACAAATGACAGAAAATGTTATAAATACCGAATTTCAAACCTAATTAAACCAATAAATGACATTTCTAGAACAGAACACCAACACTGAATCATTTGCCTTATAATGCAAAACACCATTAATGTAAATTAACTATATCCATTGATTAGATTTTTAAGCTGAGCCATGAAAACCAGTGATATTAATTTAAGAACAATTATCTTCATGCTTTCAAGAGAACTTTTAAAAGACTTCTTCGTATAGGTACTTAGTTTCTATAAAACCATAATTTCATAATTGATATTTTTGCCTGTCATAAAAGGAACACACACATTAAAAATACTTATCAAACACTGGGGTTCCCAAGGCTGAAAATAAACTATTTCTTCAAGGGTTAATTTAAAAAGTAGGAAAAGGTTCTTGTTACTTCTGCATGTTGCAAGCATTAAAAGAGTTAATAGGATTACAACACAGGAAAGCAGCTCCCAGATCTAGTGCTTGCAGAACTAAAGTAATATGAATAAATAACAACTATGTTTCTTGGACCTATTATTCTCTTAAATGTTGAAATTAATTATTTTTTACATCTATGCCTTCTCATTGAAAACCATAGAGATATTAGAATTGTGCTTAAAAAAGATAAGAAATACAGATGCTTCTTCCATTTGTGTTACCTTTAGATAGGGAAGTTCCTCACTCTTTATATTTTTCTTTTATTTTGGAATTTAACTGTTGAATCTCTGAGCATCCTATTGAACATTCAAGAATTGATTTCATATTCAGAAGTCATCACTGCCCTAATGAGTTCCTGACAAATTAATCATATGTTGTAACAAAACAACTTGCCTGACAATGGAGAATTCAATTCCTCTGTGAGCCCTATAAATTCTCAAACGTGGATTACAGAATTCATGGTATGATTATGGTAATTGTACAAACCACCATGGTAACAAAAGATATTGAGACACCAAGAAAATAATTTAATTATAGAATATATTCAGAATACTAACTAAATGAAACATTGTCTTTGCTTTCTCCTTTACATTCTCATTCCCAGTAATTAATATTATGTTATTTGCCTCACAAAATCACCCAGATTTAGACTAAGATATCTATTTCTAAAGAAAGATGACTGCCTTGGGAAAGGAAGTGAGTGTGTGAATTCCTACCAGTGTCAGTAGATGGATATTTCTAAACACTTTGTACAAGGGACTGTGTTTATCAGAACTTATGTTCAGAAAACCCCAAACATCCTGACACTGCAAAATTGGTAAATATGCACTATATAAAATCACAGAATGGTTTGGGTTGGAAGGGACCTTAAAGATCATCTGGTTCCAACGGCCCTGCCATGGACAGGGACACTTTCCACTAGATCAGGTTACTCAATCTTCCATCCAGCCTGCCTTAGAACACTGCCAGGAATGGGGCATCCACAGGTCCACTGGACAACCTGTCCAGTGCCTCAACCACCCTCACAGTAAAGAATTTCTTCTATGTATCTTTTCTAAATTTCCCCTCTTTCCATTTGAATCCATTACTCCTAGTCCTATCACTATGGTCCTGATGAAAAAAAATGTATGTGGTTCCTTTCGTCCTCACATACATCTGCTTACAGATCAATCAGGACCTATTCCTAGTAATCCAAGATACATTGGATTTATATTATTGAGGATTTTTTATGTTACTGGTCATAAGAGGGCCTGTGAACTTTTATGGTGTACAAGCAGTGGTGAGGTCCTACCATGTTTATATAGCCAGGAACTGCTGCATCTATTGTTATATGTTCCGGTAAAGGCATTTAGTCCAAAACTTGAAAATTTAGCTGGTTATGAAAAATAAAACTATCCAGTAAGAAATCTAAAGCTTAAATGTACTGTATTTAAATTGTACACAGCTTGCATTTTCCATATGTATTGACTTTTAACCTTACCAGGCAGATATCTTGATTGGTTTATATAGTAATCTTTTGCTGATGTATTTGATCTTTCAGAATCATTTCTCATCAGAATCTTGTTTCCCCCTCCTGGCTGGATAGAGCATGAAGCTTTTGATTCTGGCACACTGAAAAATCAAAATTTTCAAACCATGTGACCAACAACTCCAGCTCAGAATACCACAAGCTGACCTTAGCCTGAAGAATACAGTGCTCTTCACTTATCCTACTTTTCTCAGTAGAATCTGTTCACACAAGGTTACAGTCAAACCTAACACCTCACGACCTGGGATTTGAAGAAAGAAATGTATCTAACACTATGGAATAAAAGCAAATGTAGTCAAATGCCAGAACACAGTACCATTTAACTGATAAAGGAAGTAATGTTAGTATGTCAAATTTTAGTAAAACAGTTTCTTAAATACACAACAAGCAACCTGAACCATATAGTGCCTGAAAATAAATATGATTCTGTTTGGATATTACTGGCACTATAATAACACCCAAAGCTGATCTGCTCATGCAATTCTTTGCATTCTTGCAGGATTTTGGTGACTTGAATTTTAATAAACTTAATCAATCTATAAATCTATTTCTGGACACCGTTTACTAAAAGAAAATGTGATTTTATAATTGTAGGACATACCTAAAAGGAAATTCCTTGTTTTTCTTTTCTTTTAACAGTGCAATGCTAGGCTTCTTTGAACATGACATTCCAAATTCAGGGTCATCCAACTCATCCCAGCTATCCACAGCCTTTACCAAAGTCTGTCCCCACCGTCTTCTGCAGGTTTTAGGACCTACTACACCATTCAGAGGGCCATTAGCTGCTTGTTTCTATTTTAAATTAAAAAAAAAAAAGTTAAAATTATAATAATAAAAGCTCTTTAATTCAATTCTAAAATTTTATATTTTGTATCTAGTATAACTCCTGACTACTGCTTGCAGACTTTGAGGGTATTTTTCCCAGTGTGTTGTACCTATTTTGGTCATAGTCTCATTATGACTTTAAACACGAAACATAACAATAATGCCAGCATGTATTTGGAGTGTAGTTCTTTAAGACTGTCATAATTGAATTGCTCAAGTCTACCTGAAGTAGTGAGATTAACATTCTGTTTGCAAACCCAGTTCAGTGCTCAACCATTATTTCTGGCATCATGCTGAACTCATGCTCTCAACAGTGGTAGGTGAGCTGTCAAGAAATAGAGCACAGTGGTGCAGAATATTGCTGTGCACCCAAAGCAAATACAGCAAATAAAAGATACTCATTAGGCCTTTTCTTTAACATTCTGTTCCAGTGAAATTACTAAGTTTTAAAACTGTCCTTCTATTTATCATTTGCTTTCCAGTATTCTCTGACTACCTATTATTTTTAACATACTTTGTATTGCAGTTCAGTGAATAGAAGTTGAAAGCAAAATGGAAGTTACAAACCAAAGTTTATTATTCATCTCCCTAAAAATCATAATTGCTAAATTCTTACAAGGTTAGGAACTGAGTGAACCTTTTTTGGTATTTTCCTGCAGTTCTCCCTTTCCACATCTCTGTTGTGTACTGACAGTATAGTTGTGAATTGTTTCTCAAAGGTCAATAAGTGATAGCTATTTCAACTCCATTACTGCCTAAGCACATCACCGAGAGCTATTATAATGAACACTGTTGTTGCAAGCAATCTATTCTTCTGACTTGCTATAAAATTTTAATAAGCAGACAGTTATCCTCAATTAGTCCCTAGTTATCTATCTGTATCTCCTCTAATAAAACATGACAATTTTCAAGGGAGCACCTGGCTGAACATACTAAGAACTTTTAATAAAACCATCTATGTAGTTATTGAAGACAACTTACAGGTGGTGAGTTTTTATTGATATTTGGAAAAAGTGGTTGTGCCTGTGGCTGCTGCTGCTTTGGTACTTGCTGGTTAGCTGTATTCTGAGGCAACTGAATTTGTTGGAGAGGCTGGTGGTTAACCTTTGGCAAGTGCTGTGGCTGTGTTTTATCAGGTAAATCAGGTGAAGACTGAGGTTCTGGCTTAGCTTCCAGTTTAGGTAAAGATGGCTTTGGCTCTGTTGGCTGAACCACTTTGACAGAAGTCTGCTTCTCCATATACTGTGGAGGAGGTCCTAAAATTTGGCCAACTTGAAAGTAAGGGTATTTCAAAGCCTGCAGAAGAAGATATAACACATTAATTTTACTTCAATAAGTTGACTTTGGTAACCTCATCAAGGATCTAAGCAGGTTTCTGAAGCATTTGAGCAAGCAGAACAGATGGAAGATGGATGCATAATGACATCATATGTAAAGTGTGTATTGAGAACGGGCAGTTCTGTATTTCATCCATCACATAACTTAGCAAGACTGATCCACTTGTACATATGACAGCAGTCATATCCTTTTGTTCCCTTCTGTATTGCTAGGTGTCTGTGTTTTGAGGTGCAAACAAGGTTTCTCCCCCATTTTTCTTACCACCAGCTTTTGCTTATCTTTAAAATACATTCACTGTGCTTGCTTGCCTTCATGGTGTTTATTAAGAAAATACAATATTCTGTCTTTTTTGATTTGCATTTTTGATCTTTTCCTGTGGCCTTTCCAAGTCCTCTGCTAGATGCAGAGCATGAACACACCTTAGTAACACACCTCCTCCTGTATCAAAACAACCTACTCTGCTAATCCTTCTGGGTAGGATCCTATTCTTTTTTTAGTGCTCAAATACATGTTTTGCCTCAGCTGCACTCAAGAATTGCTGCCTTTGAACACACTGCCACGTGTATGCATTAAACTCTCCCTTTTGACTGGATTACACAACTGCTGCAGCTGCTTCCTCAATAACTCACCTGGGTAAAAGCCGCTTATTTGCTTTTATAAAGCACCATACAGTATTTTGTGTAGAGTATACAGTACTGGACTACAGATAGATCTCCATCACTGTACAATAGACATGCTTTATAAAGTGAAGAGGAATGGTTGCTTTATTTGGTACCATCTGCTAAACTGCTTCTGAATCACTTATACTACATCCACCTAGGGTAGCTTGCAGCATGTCCTTTCTTTCCCAATTGTATTCCTCTTTCATATGTTCTAAATAGGATTACATTGGGTATGAATAATACAAAGAAAAAAATCCACAGAATGTAACTATCTTTTGTCCTTGAAATATGCTTTTTGAAAATTAACTTGGAGAAAAATTGTGACCTTTGTGACCTATTGGCATGTTCTTCACAAAGTTCTTTCTTCATCACTTAGTACAATTTACATTCCAAGTAAAAATAATCCTTAGCTCTCCCATACTGCATTCCATCTGCAGCTTCACAAAAAGCAGTTTTCAAAGTTTTCAGTAGCTCCCTTTGTACAAAAGTGGCAGAAGTGACTGATAGACACAACTGAAACACTTGAACCTAAGCTATTTCTCTCTCCTGTAGAGAGAGAATTTTAAGATAAACCAATACAGAAGACAACATTGCAGAAATAACTGAAGAATTTCTGATGTCTGCTGAGCCAGGTTTAGAACTTTGTCTTTTTACCACTTAGTCTCATTCCCACCAAAGTGTTCAAAATGAGGAGACATTTGTGGTCATCACTATTGTGACAATCAACTGCTCTCTGTATCTACAATTCTTGAACAATGCAAGAAAATTCAGTCTTATACTTAATCATTCATGTGCTCAGACCTGACTTGCTGTAGGTCTCTTCTTTGGATTCCAGTTCAGCATATCACTCATAAGCTGTATTGCTTCATTGCTTGCATTTGGGATGAGAGTTTTCAGGCTTATAGGGACACACTGTGGGAAACGGAAATTCATGGCAGAAGCGAGGTGGTATCCTTCTATCCAGTCACTCTGTCTCAAAGGAAAGAAAAATCAGCACCAAAAAAGAACAAAGATGTATTTAGACAAAATTTAAGGCAGCTTGAGTCATGTTTGGTCTGCATGGCTCCTTCCTATATTGAAAACAAGCATTCTTGTTTTCCATGACAATTATTACACCACCAGTGAATGCAGCACCAGTCTCCAATGGCAGTCCTCCTGAGGTCTCCTGTAGCTAAAGGTGGAACCATCACCCTGAATAACACACTTGGACACATTCCAACTGAAGGAGACGAGAGTGCAGCAGCACCAGGAATGGTACTGAACATCCCATCTGCCACAGAAATGAGCCCAGCAGCTGACTTCAATGTTCTCTCTTTATGGAAATATCAGAGATGAGGTCCTTCCATGTCCTTCCATTGACCATGCCACAGTTGTATAACCATGATGCAGCTTATACAATATAGCACTGATCCCACCATTACAACAGTCATTATTAAGTTACAACTAGACAGTATTGCAACATTAAAAAACCATGACCACCAGATAAGAACTTTTTTTTCAAGTGTTTAACTTTCCAAAAGTAAACACTGAAATCCTTTGTTGCTTGATAACTGCATTCTTGGAATACAGAACTATAGGATTATCAAAGACCTCAAGAGATCATTTACTACGTGCCCTTGTCTCTTCCTGACAGGTGTTAAGTCTCAAAAAGCTTCCAATTTCTGGCAATTCACAGCCAGTCTATACAGACTACCCCAGAGAATAATCTCCTCAAGCTTCGGAGAATGGAGGTTTCTCGTACAAAAACAGATGAACATTGTTGAGTGTCCTATCAGATACCAAGAAGGACTATGTGATTTTTCCCTCTAGAGTGGCCTTTTTATACATTGGGAGGTGGATTTATTTTCCTTTCTTCCAGTCTTTCTTTGTACAGGCTAAAGAAACCAAAACAATTCCTAAGGTCTAGGATTTTTAAGTTTTATTTCCCCTCTAGACTCTGATTTTTTCTCTGTTGAAAACTCTAAACTGGATATAATATAGCAAGGGAAACAGAAAGATTAGTTCACCTGTTAATGGGCAATACTCCTTTTTCTACACACTGGTATGGTATATGTCTTTAGACATACAATACACTAAGCAGCTCCTATGGCCTCTCCTACAGAAGTGTTAGCTGCATGGTTGTCCACAGCTATTGATGTAGCTGATTATTCCTGCTGAAGTACAGCATTCTGTGCACTACTGAAAAAATTTCTTTAAAGCTACATCCCTAATTTTATACATTAAAAAACCTCTCTAAATTCTAATCTTGTTTTCTAACATAATCCTTCTTAGCCTGCTATCTTAAGTAGCAAAATCTACTCCACCAGACAGCCTTCAATGCAATTTAAAAACTTTCATCAGAGGCAGAACCACTCAATAAGAGCCAGTGAAGCTTAGTCTCTGTGTCTTTCCAAACAGGTATGCTCTTACCCTGCAGTTTGTATAGAAATATGCTGCTGAGAATGTTATGAGGGACAGCATCACAAACCTTACTGAAGACAAGGTATGACATTTGTGCTCTTCCTCTATCCACCAAGCTTGTTACACTGCTCCAGGGCAAACTGGACTGATTGGATACAATTTGGTCTTAAGGTACCATGACAGCCATTACTCATCTTTTTATGTACAACAGTTTTAGCTTTGTTAGCACAGTCCATGGTAACAAAAAAACCTCAAATATAATTGTAAATCACATCTGGTTTAAAAAAAATTCAAGATTTCAAGTGATTTCCTATTCCACCTCAGAGACCAGTTTGTTCATTTACATTAATGGAGAAAGACCTTGCTCCTTCACTGCACTGGCCTTCTTTATTGAGTTTGGTGGCATTCTACCTGCTAGAAATAGTGATAAAGCAACAGTATACAACAAGTACCAAGGGCTGCATGTTGAACTAGTGAAGCATAGGGATAAAGTAAAAACAGTACAAGAGCAAAAATGAAAAATACACTTATATAAAAAAATAACTTGCAATTTTTTAAAGTGCCATTGCCAACCTTCAACTAATGAAAATTTATTTAATTCATTTTTCCTATTGAGATTGTCATAAATTTTTTCAATAAATACACACATTACAAGTGCACCACCACTGCCAATACTTGAATGGTGCAATTTAATTTATTTATAAAATAAATAATTTTTTTATTTAAATTAAGTTTTTATAAACTTAATTTATAAAATAAAACAAAATAGTTCCCTGACACTTTTTTAAACACCCATATTCACAGAAGTCATTGGTACATTGTTATGGACTTATACACAGGAGGGTAAACTGGAATGGAGATAGCTTCTGGGCATAATTCCTGTAATTCATTATTGCAGAATAATGGAATAAATGCAAATGCATGTCTGAAATAACAGTATTTGTAAAACTATCAGCAAAAATCAGACTATTAAAATAACTGATTACATTTTTCAGAATCTAAGTACTTGTAACAAATGCATTATTTGTTGTGGTAATTCCTATCATAGTATTTAAGTACACCTTTTACACAGCAATATACCTGAAGAATGCCTTAGCATTGTCATAAGGACAGAAAATTCTCAAGTCTGCCCAGCAGATGACAGTGGCACAAAGTAATTAATTACAGTTTCCTGATCCTACAGGGCTGACTTAAATAGGTCCTTAACTCCTAAGGTCTTTAGTGAAGGCTACAGTTTTCTCTGGAATACTGAGCTGATAATGCTCCCTGCTTTCCCAAGCAATAAGCTTTCTAGTCAGGGAATTACAGACTCTAAACATGATTTGCTTCTATTAGCTCCTTGTAAGAGTAGAGAAAAAACACAGCAGTCAGCTCAGTGCAGCTCTGCAACTGCACACAGTGAAAACCTCTCTCTGATCTCCCTGCACTTCAGAGCTTTTATGCTGTACATTGAAAATATTCCAGAAGTCAGTATGGTGCTGTCTTTCAGATATTCTTCATATACATCAAAATGTTCCTCTTACTATCCTAGATTTGTAATCTGCTTAAGAAAGTTCACATCTGCATTTGAAAACTCAAGTCATAAAACAGTGCTCATATTGCACATTATTGCTGAGGCACGACTGTGTCATGGCAAGCACTGTTTTACACATCATACCAATTTTCACTGAGTCCTGATTCAATTTTCACTTCCACAACATATCATCTATAACTCTCCACCTGACCTTTTCCTCTTTGCTCTGTCAGGAGTTTGCACCTGTTTCTCAGTATGTTCTCTTGGATGTTTTCCCACCAGTTCAAGCTCTGCATGTTCCTAGCTAAGCTTAATCTATTTCTGTTTTAAGTTTTCTGCTGCTTACTTCTCTACTGATAACAGCTCCTTTACTGGACAAGAATTATACTGAATTTTATATAAGTAGAACACTAATGAAACGTTTTTCTCTCCACCCTTAGGATTTTCAGATCTAGGTGGACTGTGTTTGATCAGTTATTCCACCAAGTTCCATTTGCACCCATAAAATACTGATATACATCTGCCTTTACATCTTACATCTACATCTTACTTTAGCCTACAAAAATATTTAACAGCATGTGATCTTTTTTCAGTTAATTCAAAATTTTGAAGGTAAACTTATTCTTTCTTGCATGTTTTTCCACCCATTTACTAAAACAACTTTTAAACTGAATATAAGTGCATCCATTTTTATACGCACTACCCAAACCTTCCTTGCAATTTTACATAGTATTTAGCTCCTCCAGAAAATAAGCAAAAAGAATTGTTTCCTCTTTAAAATACTGCACGTTTTCCGTCCATTACTTCTTATTGTTAATAATATTTATGAGACATCTGTGTTTGAGATGAAATGTTTCTTTTATGCTTTAAAAGTAAGAAAAGCATAATTGTCTTATTTATGGTAATTTTTACAAGCTTCAAATTCCATATGCCAGCACAGAAGAATTACACTTTCAGGAAGGGAAAGAAAATTGGCTCTGGTAAATTAAATCCCAGGAGACTTTTGATTTGCTTTCCATTATGAATAGCTTTAAATATATAAATTAAACAATTTTATCTGGCTTTCATCATAAGAGAGCAAGATTTCACATAATGATATACAACAGATGCTGATATACAATAAAAGATTATCATTACATGCCTTAATGGAAGCTGAAAAGAAATATAGTTGAGCAAACAGTAAGTCTGCAGGAAACTTACTGAAACAATAATTCAATGTACATGTTCTGAAAGGTAACACAGAATATTTTGTAATAATTTGATTTTTTTTTTTGGTAATAAAATTGTGTGAAGTTTTTTAAGCCTTACCTTCTTTGGAGTCCCTAGGACTTGGCAAATTTTGAAGATTTCATCTACTTCACTTGTGCCTGGGAAAAGAGGTCTGAGTGTGTATAACTCAGCCATTATGCTGCCAACTGCCCATATATCAATAGGTGAGCTATAGACAGAAGATCTCAGCAAAACTTCAGGGGCACGGTACCTGTGAGCATGGAAGGAAATAATAAATAAGTTAAAATAGTCATAGGAAGGTAATTACTTAAGCTAACATATTAAATTCTTGATATACTTACCACCTGGTAGAAACATAATCTGTATAAGGTGGCTGAGATCTTAGTTCTCTAGCCAACCCAAAATCTGCAATTTTCACAAGTTCTGGTCCACTACAGAGAAGGTTTTCAGGCTTCATATCCCTATGAAAAAATCCTGTAGCAGACCAAACAGAAAAGAATCACAAATTTCACAGAATCACTTCTTAAGCAGAAACTTCTAATAGGAGTAATCCAATATTTACTTTAGGATGTTTTGGAATAATATAGTGGTTTGCAGGTTGTTTGTTTTTGAATTCAATATAAAATAATTGGAACTCTCCCCCAACAAATGCATTTTCCCTCCAGTGATCATTACACCAAGTGTTCTTAAATTAACAAATATAAACTGTCATTAGGACAGTAAGGAAAATGAATTGCATGGCAGCAACATCAAGTAAAAAACCAATGTCACAATGAAATCTTTTGCAAAAACTACAAGTGCTTTGTCGGTTTTGGATAATGGAAAATCGAGCATCTGATACACTTACTTGATTCATAAAATTGCTTGAATGATTTTTAGCTAGTTACTTATCATTGTGACAATAATTTGGAGATAGACATATAAAGGATATCCAAATCCTGCTCAGAAATACTAATATTAGTAAATAAAGCTATTAAAATATAAAATTTATTAAAATAAATAGTAAATTAGTAAATAAAGTTCCTTCAGTGCTTGTTGTTGGCTTGAGGACCTCTATATCTAGGCAGTGGTTAAGTCACCAAGCAAATTAATTCTGCTGTTTAATTGGAACACACAATTTGTTATGTTTTACATTAATTTGATTGAAATCCACTTACTAGAATAAAGCACTGCATGCAGAAATTAAAAACTACTGTAAGAAATTGGTTGAAATTATTACAGTGAAATGTAAATGTTCAAATTTATCATACCTGGTGTTCACTTATACACTTATGGTCAAATCAAGATATTAACATTGTAACTTAAAACTGAAAGTTTTTCTTAAAATCTAATTTTCTCATGTATTTCACAGAGAAATTAGGTAGGAAAGAAGGATGTTAACAATCAGAGAACAGTATATGATCCTGATCAGAAGGACAAGAAACTATCAGTTTCTGGGTATTTGATAATACTGAACAGAACTAATTATTCATTTAATTCACCAACAGGCCTCTTCAGGGTACATTGAAAGCAAATCAAACCTCGCTAGAACACTGTTTCTTATTTTATTTCCAGCTAATGTTTATTGTCTTTGAAAAGTTTAGGGATACCAATGTGATGTAAAGAACAAGGACAAAAAAAACCCAACTTAGCATGAGAGTAAATTACGACCTTTTTAAATGCAAAGTAGTTTCATACCAGTATTTCAGAATACAGTTTGCAGATAGATATTAAACATGAGCACTGGGAGTTTTGCAAACCCTGTGAAACTTTTTATTGTTGTAAGCACACCTCACCTCTTACATAGACTGTGCCAGTAATTCCTAGAAACATCCCACTTACTAAAATATTTAAATCCAGATTGTATTTGATAAGGATGCTGTTCAAATTTCTTAGTGAAAAAGTTATTAAAATATTTTTTATATGTAGAGTATCACATTAGTTACAGTATCTCAACAGAAGAGTATTGATGTATCAGTGCTCCTTGGTTAGATCTTTTTGAGGAAGCAGAAGTGTTTAGTATAGCACAACATACCAGATTCTTCAGTTTGTTTATTTATCTGCTAACTAAAATAGAAAAAAACTACTGCACGGTGTATGAACAACATCCAGTGCTTTCCAAGAGAAAGAAGAAAATCCAATTATACAAAAACAAAGAGTAAGTTCAAGCAAAGTTTAAAACTGCACCACACTTGAAACAGGTAACCATGATTCTATCTGAGATAAATAATAGCCCTTGCTAGATTATTTTATTCATGTTATTTCTGTGCATGATCTTATTTTCCAAAAAAACTGCTACAGTTAAACTCTAGTAGGAAACCTACCATGTTTGTGGATGAAAGCCAGCCCTTGCAATATCTGATACATCATGTTTCTGATGACTGACTCAGGGAAAAACTTGTTTCTGTGAAGAAACAGGGTAAAAATTCACATTATTTTTCTTAATTATGTATCTTCAGAACACACGTGTTTCTTTATTTTGCCTAACACATCATGAACACATGAAAACAGACCCATCAAGTCAAAGTAAGAGAGATGCAACTCTAATTTCAAAACTCAACTGGGCCTTAACCTCAACCACTTTCAAGTGCAGCAGCAGAACTCCTGTGCTGAGAGGTTGATGGTGCTAGCTCTCAGTAAAAGCTGGCTGGCCAGCAGTGTGCTTGACCAGGTGAACAGGGAATGCACAGTGGTGCAGCAAGGCAGAGATGGCACAATGCAGCTCTGGTAGGTGCACTACCCAGTGGTGCCCTTAAGGGAACCCTGATAAGAGCAATTGTGCTCAGCCACAGAGTAACATTGTGTTAATGTCACCAGCAGCCAACTCAGGATGTCAGCCCAAGAGCTTGGCACATTAGGAGATAAAAGTGCATGAGAAAGTCTGAAGGAAACCCACACTGAAGGCAAAACAAATCACCAAAGGAAAATGTTATTGAAAAGGCAGGTCCTGTTCCAAAGTCCACCTTGCAAGCCGTGCTATGTAGTGTTTGTCTAAGATTGCAACATCAGAGTTAACCTACATACAGGCCATTCTTACAAGGATGCATGCATGTACCATCCCCACCCTAACTCAAACCCATGAGCAAAAGTAGCATGAACAGTGTTCACCCAATCCTTCATAAATTAAAATCAAGGCTATTGAAGAAAAAAAAAACAAAACACAACTATTTGGAATTTCTCTCATGGTATACAAAGGCATGCAAACACTCCTGTTAACAAGTGATCAAACTTATTTCCAAAAGCATTACAATGTGCAGTGCTGTAACAGAGCAATGCAGAATTCTACCCTCAGATAAGCATGTGCAGCAACTCCTGTTCATATCATTGGGGCTGCAAGAAGAGCCAAAATCAGAAATCCTGAAGTGTTCTTCCAGGTAGTATGAGAATCATTAAATAAAGTATGATAGCACACTACTTTTATGTGATAAAAAAAACCATACCTATCCTTCATTAGCTGATAGAGATTTTCCTTCATGTATTCAAATACAAAGTAAAGGTGGTCATTTTCTCGTATGACTTCCTTCAATTTTATTACATTGGCATGGTTTAGCTTCTTCAGAGACTGCAGTAGAGCAAAATACAGCTTCAGATAACCCCACAGTGACCTTGATTTCTTACCAGAACTAAATTTTTAACATATGAGTTTCTAGCGCAGAATCCACACAACATATTCACATTCATTACTTATCTTGTAATCTGTTTTAAAGAACAACCCAAAAGTTTAAACAAATTTCAAAATAAAAGTAACAACTATATTAATAGTACTTTAAACCTATTTCTAGGGATTACCTCAGAGCTGGAGTAAAGATTAGCACAAAAACCTAATTCCCTACAACAAAAGACAAATCTGAAGCTGAAAGCGCTTGTGCTAGCTGAACTGAATAAGAAAACCTGCATTTTTTTCCCCCTTCCTTTTGGCAGGAAACTTTCATGAAGAAGGATTCTCTTACAGATTTCATTTTGGACATACTGATTTGTGTGAAATCTCCAATAAGTTAAATCTAAAGCCCTTTAGTTGGGAGCTTTGTATATACAGAAAATCAGATGCCCAAAACATTAAATTATTTGGAATTTAAACCCAGGTTTTCAAGTGTTATTCTATCACTTGGCTAGCCAAAACTCCCAGTGCTTTCTACAGATGCCCTAAACACTAGATATACAGAATGGATACGCAGCTAGAAATCTGGAAGTAAAATGAAAGAAGAGGATGGCAAACCACAGAAATACCCACATACAAAATCAATTTCTTTCCCTTTCTCAAAGACAAGAGGCTTGGCTACGAGACATGGCCACTGCTTGAGAATAGTGGGATGTTCCACAAATCAGCAGGACCTCTAAGAGTGCCAGCAGCCCACGGTTTTGTGAAATCTGTCAGCATTTAAGGAGTTCATAGAGTTTGGCCTTAGGCATGGATATGGTAGCTGCCCTTTTCCTTCATGCAAGCCTAACCAGACACTTATTTCTAAATGTGGTATGTTCACCACTTTACCTTGACTTCTCTCAAATTCATACATTCATCCCATGAATAGAACTTTCTTTTCATTCTGAAATAAAGTTCAAAATAAAGTATTTTCAGTGGACAGTACAGAATGCTTTTAGAATTAGAAAACCTAAACGGTATTTTCTCAGATTAGCATTATCTATATTTTGAACTCAATTTAAAGCATTCTAGCATACCCATTCAGCAATATAATTAAAAACAACAGAATTGCTAAAAATTTACAGTAATTCATCATCAAACACTGAAACATATTTTTATGAAAAGTACAGCCAGAGACTATGCTGCTCCAAGTAAAAGGGACATAAAACCCCTTTGTATCATTTGAATTGTGCTTTTAATAATAAAGTAATCAACAATGACACTGCACATATAATATGGAAAATCACATCCTTGTGCATAAGTTGCATATTCTTGGAAAACAAAAAAATTAAATTTTCGATATCTGCAAAATATTTGGACTGCTTTCTACTATAATTAGGTATCTGATATGATCAGTCATTTAAAAAAATCTGTTCTAAGATATTAATTTAAAAAAAAAAAGGTTTCATTTCTTTCAAGCAACATTATAGCCTCTGAACTAACTGTTAAACATAACAGTGTAATACATTTATTTGTAAATCCTGCATAAATCCAAATGTGAACATCTGGTGTTGCTCACATCTTGGAATGAAGTTGTGAATGTCATTGCTGTGTTTTGGTAAAGTTTTAGCACCTAAAGTGAAGAGATTTAAACCCAAGATTTTCATTTAAAATAAAAATATCTTCAAGCAAAACTGTACCCTCTCAAGTCCCAAACTTAAAAAAATCACACAACAGAATTCCAAATCCTGAAATCACAAGAATTAACCACTTCCCACAAAATGTTGTTCCTTTTGCTAAAGATAATTAAAATAATCAATTGGACATTCTTTCTTTAGCTTAGGTTAATATTAACTTCAGTAACAGTACCAACAAAATATGGTGAAATTCTCAGAAATCCTTAAAGAGAAAAAGTCAGTCAATTATATTACAATTATCTTACTGCAGTAAATCCATATCTGAGCAAGATACAATTTCTGGTATTTCAACTTACACTTTATATCCTGCTTGCAATTCCCTAGGAATACAAGGCAAACTTCGCCATGCCTTGAGTAGAATTTTTCTTGTTTCATAATTGTCTTTTAAGGCAAGTATGACAATGCTCTTGACTATACAGAACTCTGAATTTATTAGAGCCAAGGAGACAGCCTTTATTTACCTGACCAGATTGTTACTGTTATTTATCACTGTAGCAACACATGAAGCTTAGTGCAGTATTTAAAAAGATTTGGGAGGCTGGGATGGAATTTCAAAACTACCTGCTAATATTGCTATTCTGCAGTTCATATAAATAAACTCCCTAATTCATCACATTCACTTCTGCTTCTCCATGGCTACTGGCCTAACATTTTTAAAAGAAAGCATGTTCAAACTGAACAAAAGCAGCATGCAATTTTACAAGACAATGTAAATCAGTAAATTAAACTGATGTGTCTCTATTGATCAGTTACCAGAAATCTGTCTCACAATCACCTTGTTAAATATCTTAATGAAAAAAAAAGTTGTTATGTTAATTTCCTTTTAAAAGGGGACTTTTTTCTATTGTACACAAATGGGAGACAACAATAAAGTCAAAAGTGAAAATCCAAGGTTTTGCAAGCACCTTTACTGAACTGAGATGTTACATACCTTTTGATAGCCACAAGTTCTCCTGACTCATTGCTCTTCCCCATCAACACGCTGCCATAGGTGCCATCACCCAGTTGTTTCATAATTGTGTAACGATTCATTTTTTTATGACTCAGACAGCCAAAAGCTTATGAAATGCTCAATGTCTTCTGTTTTATTAAAGGGTTCTCTGCTCTTTGATTTTCTTAAGAGAAGTCTTGTTCCAGACTGTTTTATGTTGGTGAATGTTTCTCATAACTGAGCAGGATATTCACTGCACTCTTCCAAACTGTAGATACTTTGAGCTCCAGTTATGAAGAATGGGAGACAGAAGAACATGGTCATTCTCATACAGATCCTTAAAACAAACAAACAAATAAAAGAATAAGTAGTTTTACAGTATTTTAGAAAAGAGACACTCTACTATTTGTATCAAACAATAACACGCTCCAGGGCCGTATGTGCTCTTTAAATAGATTTAAATGTAATTCGTTCCTTTAAATTTTTCAAACCACAGAAGGTGCCTACTGTACAATTAGGGTTAGAGTAAGCAGAAGGTTACTATCATAATTTGCCCAAGAACAAGCAAAGTGGTTTTAATGCTGGTGTATTTTGGTGGAAGCCCTTACTCTGAATTTGCAGAAAGCAGCAGCTTCCTGAATGTAACAAAGGCACAGTTTGTTTTGGAAAACATAAGGACACAAATTCTGCACAGGGTGCCATGGCAAACTTCAGGTCTAAACACTGTGTTTTGGATTGGTAATGCAAGCAGGCTTTCTATACTTAAAAGTTAGTGAGGAAGGGAGGTGGAGCAGCAAGATAACCGCTGCATTTTTCACCCACATAAGCTGATAAATGTACATGTACATGTACATGGACATCTTGCTCTGAAGTTCACATAATTCTTATGTACGGTAATGGCTGAAAAGTTAATTTTATTCTTCAGTTTTACAAGGCTTGCAGAGAGAAGCATAGAGCTTCCATGCATTGGTATGGAAGATTAAATCTGAACTGTCATTTGGAAAAGAATCCATATTGAACAATGTTGAATCACCATATTTGAATCCATGCAAATATTAATTTGAATCCCAATTCAAATTTGAATCTGTACCCCAGCTTCCATTACACAGAATACTATCTGTCACCAACACTTTACATGAAGGCCAGTTGCCTGACGTCAAACACTTACACAAACTCACAAGAGTCACCCACTTATTTATGCAGGAGTAGGAAAAACAAACAACCTCTCATTGTACCATTTACTCACTGTAACACAAATACTAATACACAAAAACACTGAATGTTAACTGAATAACAGCATGCTCTGCCTTTTGCCTCTGCTGTCTGAAAATACAAAATTAAACTCAAATCAATGGGAACACACCATCAGTCTACCTTTACAGGGGATAGAGAATTCAGCATGCAACTCTCTAGTCCTTATGCTTATACCAGAATTAGCTACAGTCTGGTCTATTCAAACAGAATAAGAAAGTCTGATTCAGCTGATAACAAGACTCAGGCTTTGAGATTTATAGGCCTGGCAAAATAACAAGAAAATTGGCCTCTCAAGGAGTGTGAAATATAAATTCTCAAGCAGACTAGCCTGCTATGTAAAGGAAACAGCTGCCTGGACAATAGACCAATGTTTCTATGATGTTCTTAGATGAAATGCTGCTTCCTCAAAGAAGTCATAACACAGAGTGTTACTCTCTGTTGCTTCTGTTATCAGGAAAGAATCTCACATCATCACCTGTCAAGATGCCAGTAACAAATGGACATCTCAATTCATAATCTTTAACATATTCAGACCAGGCAACCTTCATTTTGTCAGGGAAAGTTATTAAGAAGTTTTTTTCCACACCCATCTACACCTCTCCCCCGCTAAAGCCACAGCTATAGTGAAATAAGATTTCTGGCTAACAGTGTATTCTGAAACAAAGCTAAAAACCAGATTTAACAAAAAGTAACAAAGACATCTCAAATTATGACTAGATTTTAAATTGGACTTTCAAATATTTAAGCAAATTTCTCTTCTCAGAGTTCATCTTTATATCTTATTCTCAAAAATACCTGCATGCACTCTAGTCGTTAATACCACCAATAATGCCTTTTTACAACAAGGCTATTTGTTAACTCTGGTAATAAGCAGATGATCAAGTGTGTTTAGTCCAAGTTAAGATACATTCTGCATACACATCTTGCAAGTTGTCAATGGTTAGCTCTATGTATATATTAAAAAAAAAACAACACAAAGACCTTGAGGATATTCTTATATCCATTTTAAACACAGCATCACATCTAAAGCATCAGCAATGATAAACTGCGTATGCATTTTGCGTATAGGTATACACAGGCATATCATGTGAAGTGAAATGTAACAAATTTTGGGTACTTGTTTTTCTCTGTTTCAACAAATCATTGTGCATTGTTTAAGGTATGGGTTTTTTGAGGGGATTCAGCAATATCTGCCACAGATGGCCCTAGCTTGAACTCCTAGTTACATTAAGTTGGAGAATTTGCATGCATTTCATGCTCAACCTTTTGCTCTCTAACAAAGTGAACAAAAAAAAAAAAAAAGAAGAAAACTTGTATTTGCAATAAACAGAACAAGATCTAGACACAGACCTCAAGTTTTGACCTTTAAATCCTCTAATTCTGGTGCCTAAATCCTATCAGCTTTCCAAGTAATTTTCATTGGCGTATACATTAGTCACATGCTTTTACAATTATTTCTTTTGTCCAATTCGGATATTTTGGCACGTGCAATCAAAACAACCTCACTTTAAGTATTCCTTTCCTCCAGAAATTCTGTGTAATACAACACATCACAGACCTAATTATTAATTTTGTCTGTTCTGTAATATATTTTATTGCCTTACTCCTTTTCTGCTGTATACTTCGATTTTTAGGGTATGAAAACACCTGATCAAGTAAAGTACAGAAAAGCCAGCGCATTTCTTCAATGATCAGGTGGAAGTGTCAAATCCACTCCATGGAAATGCACAAAACAAGGTGTGTACCCTGATAACAATGTGTTATCACATGTACCATCACACCTACCCTACAGTGACGTGCTGGAATTACAGAGCATGATAATTAGAACATAAATGCTCCAGAGATTCACATTTCACTACAACAGACTTCTGCATACTTTGTACTTTACACCACCATACCCAGCTCAGGTGTGCAATTTTTTCCTCAGTGGTCTATCTGTATTTTCGTTTTCAAATCTGCAGTTCAGTTTTGTTTTTTTACCAACCTGAGGAAAAGCAAGGGCCCAGTCTAGCTTTTCTGGTTAAAACAAGCCTTTGGAGTGGCCTCTTCCATACTAATGCTCATGTTATTATTTCCTCAGTGATGCAAAGCTCTAAAATGTAAAATTGTCATAACAGCTAACAAACAGACAAGAGAAATCCTAGTCTAAACAACAGCTTGTTCAATACTCCTAATGACATCGTGTGCATAATCTCTTTACACAGGATTAAGGATAGATTAAAGCCAGGGACAAATAGAGGACAAAATACAATAGCTTGACAGAATCTATAATTTGTGCAAATTTAGCAAATCTGAACAAGTACTAGGAAATTGGAACAAATCATCACTTTTACTGTGTTACTGATGTTTTAAAGCACTAACAGCAATTTTGTATTATTTTAGATGTCTAAATTACATTTCAAAATGTAACGAACAGCAGCAAATCACCTACATTTCTTATATACAAATACTAGGCTTTACCAAGAGCTCTACATTTGCATCCTAAACAAACTACCCTCAAATAAATAGAAACTAGGATATATGACCCGATAAGACCTCCCATGCAGAGAAGCATGGAGAGAGCAGAGAAACACTGAGAATCAAATTTTACCAACCTGCTTACAGTAACTGATGAAATCACCAGAACTGTTTGCATGGCACAGTACTGTTCTCAGTGATCAGAACTGGCAGTATTGCAACGCACAGAACATATGCTGATAGAGATTTTAAAAGTAAAAATAAACCCAAAACCAAATCCAACCACAAAACAACAGATTTTGCTACAAGAAACTTCTTGGTAGTGACTGTACATTACTAAAGCTGCCAGTAATCAGGTCCCGTGACAGGTGGATCTAGTTCTTGAGATTAACCTCAAATCCATTACTCTAATCAAAGACCAGCAGTTATTTAAAAGCAGGACTCTCAGCTGCAAGAAAGAAGTCAGTAACATTGACAATAAATACTAGTGCTTTGAAATAGACTGCCTTAAATTACTTTTTTTTTTAAGTCCCTTTAAAAATCTAATACATTGTTCTACTTGTGTCTATCAGGCATTCAGGATGGGGCATATCAAACCAAGAGCTCCAGTTTGCTTGTAGTATTATCCCGTTTTGTTCCAAACTAGCTCTGGTTTCAAACCAAAATTACTTACACCAACTTTTTCAGGAGATTCCCACCATGCCAGCAAGGCTACCTCTTCCTACCCCCAAGAAACCCCCTTTCACAATGCACTACAGCAAGTTTCAGGATAACAATGGTTCGGTGCTGCTGGAATTTCAAGTGTCCAGTTTTGGGCAGTGTCCAGAAGGAACATGAACCACTCATCTTTCAGCATCCACTGTAAGTTTCAATAAAACACAGAATGGTTGAGATTGGAAGGAACCTCTGGAGATCCAGTCCAACCCCTTTGACAAGGCAGGGTGACTTAGAGCAGGTGACACAGGAACACATCCAGGAGGGTTTGGAATGTCTCCAGAGAGAGAGACTACACACCCTCCCTGGGGAGCCTGTTCCAGTGCTCTGCCACCCTCAGTGTAAAGAATTTCTTCCTCATGTTGAGGTGGAACTTCTTGTGCTTCAGTTTATGGCCATTGCTCCTCGTCCTGTCGCCAGGCACTACTGAAAAGAGTCTGGCACCGTCCTCTCGGTGCCTGCCTTTGAGATAATTATACTCACTAGTGAGATCCCCTCTCAGTCTTGAGAATGGAAACAGATGCTTGTTTCCATTTCAGTTCCACCGGGTGACATTCAGTCGCCTCCCAAGAGTGTTCAGGTACCTTCCTTAGCACTCACAGCGCCAAGGGGACCACGGCGCTCCTGCCGCTCACTCAGGCAATAAAACTCGGCACTGCCCGGCCTGCCAGTTTCACCCCAGTTCTCCTAAACAAAACTTCACCTCCTCTCACTGACCTCGGAGCTCTGAGGCCGCCAAGGCCGGCTCTACCCTACCTACGGAAGCCAAAGCAGGCAGGGTCCGTGTCCCCGCCGGCTCCGCACCCCCGCGGCGCTGCCGCTCCCAAAGCCCAGCCCGGCAGCGGCGCAGCTCCCCGCACACGCCAGCTCACCCCACCAGCGACCCAAGCTCCGAACCGCGCTGGGGGCCGGCTCCAGCTCCTCTCTGTAGGAGCGGAGCTCCAAACGCTCCCGCGGCAGCCCAGACCAGCACCTCCTCCGTGCTGGGAGGACCCCAGAGAGGCCCAGCCCCCGGGCCACGGGCACTCACCAGCCCGGCTCGGCCCGACCCGGCCCGGCCCAGCGGGGGTCGCCCCGTCTCCGCCGGCCCGCACTCACCGTGGTGCTGCGGGCGGAGCCAGCCCGGTGCCGCCGAGCCCCCGGCCCGCCCGCCGCCTCCCTCGGCCGGGCCGCTCTGCCCTGTCACCGGGGCGACGGGCGCGGGGCCGGGCCCGGGCTGGGGCGGGCCCCGCCGCCAGCACCGCCCTCACGGCCGCGGGCACGGCTGCTGGGGATCCCGGGGGAGCGCGGAGGTGATGGATAAACAGCGCTGTGGGGAGCGGGGACACCGCCCCGTTGGAAAGGGAGTGGTGCCCAACGGGAGCTGAGCCTGATGACGAGAGCCCCATCACAGGTTCCCTGAAGGTGGCCCCATGATACGCGAGATCGTCTTTAGACAGTCACTATAATTATTATTACTATTATTTTAATTATCTACTTAACAATATATTATAATTACAATGTAATATATAAAATATATATAATTCTATATTATAATTACTGCTAATAGTAATGATATGCTGAATATATATTTGGTGCTCTGTTGAGAGCTCACCTGTAGTGCTGCATCCAGCTCTGGGTTCCCTAGCACAGGAAGGACATGGACCTGCTGGAGCAAATACAGAGCCAGGATGCTCTGTGATGCTCAGAAGGCTGGTGCACCTCTCCTACGAATATAGGCTGAGACAGCTGGAGCTGTTCAGCCGGGAGAAGAGAAGGCTCGAGTGAGACCTTAGAGCAGCTTTCCAGTACCTAAAGGGAACTTTCAGGGAAGATGGATAGAGTCTATTTACAAGAGCGTGGACAAAGGGAAACGGCTTCAAATTGAAAGTGATTAGATATTAGGGGGGGGAAATCTTTACTGTGATGCTGGTGAGGCACAGACACACGTTGCCCAGGGAAACTGTGGATGCCCCATTCCTGGAGGTATTCAAAGACAGGCTGAATGGGACTCTGAGCATCCTGGTCTAGTGGAATGTGTCCCTGCCCATGGCAAAGGTTTTGGAACTAGATGAACTTCAAGGTCCCCTTCCAATCCAAACCATTCTCTGATCATATGAAATAAAGCTACCAGCTAAGCCACAGTGTACTTATGATTTGTACAGAAACTCCCACCTGTAATACTCACAGCTGTAGTGAAACCTGAGGGAATTTTTCCCCCTAGCATTTTTAAAAACTATTTATTGCAAGCAATTTGTCAAAATGCATGCTGTTAGTACTGATGGAGGGGGGTGAATTTTGAGTGCTCTATGCATTCTAAAATATATATATTTCTATTACAAAAATAATAATGAACTTCTTGTTCCTTTGTAATCTTGCATTTCTCCAGGGTGTGTAGAAGGCACAGTTAATAAAAATGGCAAATTTAGTGTCTGATCCAGAGATGCTTTTGGCAGGGAAGTCTCATTTTAATCATGAATTCTCAACATTAGCTTGAGCTTCCTATTTTTTAATGTTTTTGAGAGTGAGAGGTAAGAAAAGGAGATCATTTCAACAGAATAACTACTAGAAGAGCCATAGAGGGAAAGGCAGAAAATTGTTCTAGAAATTCAGATTCCTATCTGCTGGCAGCTCAGCCTTGCTGAGCAAAAATGGGATGCTGTCTTCATTTTACATTTTTTTCTCTCTCCTCCCTGTTCCTCATTAATTGGCGTGGTAACTTTGTGATGGTTTAAGAACTGTTGATAGATTAATTGATTCTACCTCAAGTCAACTGGGTGGAACGTGGGGCTATGGGAATTGGTTTTCTGGAATTCAAAGGATTTGACTACTTGCACATAGCTTGCTAAAATGAAAGTACAAGAAAACAACATTATATTTTCTGAAACAAAATATACCTGTTTTCTTTACTGAAATAAAACATCAGAGGTGACTGCCAGGTAAAATAAAGTTCAAAGGTGAGACTTAGGCATGAGAAAGAAGAAAGTACCATAACCCACACAGCAAAATTCAAGCAGAGATTCAACAAGAGCTGACTGCACATAGCAAAGAATTTAACCACGCATTAACCTCTAAGAATATGTTTCATCTCTACTACATGGATACATCCCTACCTTATATATGAGAAAACACCTCTCCACTGTCAGTGGAAATGATGCAGCAGTTAGCTGTGATGTCCCCTTCCTGCCCTTGTATCCTTTCCTCTCTCTACAGTTTAGCCACATCCCATGATTGCCCTTTCCCAGTGATGAGCTCCCCCCTTTTTCTCTGCTGCTGCCACTCAGTTTCATAAGATCACAGAATGATTTGGGATGGAAGGAATCTTAAAAATCATCTAGTTCCAACCTCCCTGGCATGGTCAGGAGCACTTTCCACTAGACCAGATGTCTCAGAGCCTGATCCAAACCTGGCCTTGAATACTTCCAGGCCATCCATATCTTTTGTAGGCAACCTGTCCCAGTGCCTCACCACCTTCAGAATAAAGAATTTCTGCCTAATATCTAATCTAAACCCACCCTGTCTCACAGTACAGCCATTCCCCCTTGTCTTATCCCTACATGCTCATGTAAGAAGTCCTCCTCCAGCTCTCTTGCAGGTCCCCATTAGGTACTGGAAGGATGCTACAAGGTCAGCCCAGAACCCTTTTTTCTCCAGGCTGAACAACCCCAGCTCTCTCAGCCTGTCTTCATAGGAGAAGAGCTTCAGCCCTATAAACATCTTCGTGGCCTCCTCTGGACTTGCTCAGAAGGTCCATGTGCTTCTTATGTTGGGAGACCCAGAGCTGGATGCAGCACTGCAGGTGGGGTCTCACCAGAGCAGGGCAGAGGGGCAGAATAACCTCTCCCAGCCTGCTGGCCATGCTGATGTGGATACAGTCCAGGACACATTTGGCTTTCTGGGCTGCAGGCACACACTGCTGGGTCATGCTGAGCAGCCAACAGACCCTAGTCCTTCTCAGGGCTGCTCTTAATCCATTCTCCCCCAGCCTGTATTTGTCCTTGGGATTGCCCTGACCCAGGTGTAGGACCTTGTATTTGGCCTTGTTGAGCTCCATGAGATTCACACAGTCCCACCTCTCCAGCCTGTCCAGGTCCTTCTGGATGCCACCCCTTCCCTCCAGCGTGCTGACTGCACCACGCAGCTCAGTGTCATTATCAACCACGCTGAGGGTACATTCAATCCCACTGTCCATGTTGCTGAACAAGATGAAAATGCTTTTGGTTGCCTGTGAGGCATTTCCAGTCTAATTATAGTCACTTATAAGAGATCTGGCACAAGCAAGGGGTTTATATTTAAATAATTTCTGTATTAGTTTTGCACAAGAGAAACACTTAAGTCTAAATTCTGTTTCCAGGATCTTATGTCTGTCAATTGTTGGTACTTTTTTAATGGTCCCCAACATTTTACACACTTGAAGACAAAAGGCTGTAGACAGCACTTGCCAGTGTTTGAGCCAGACTGCAGCATGGTGTGGAGTTCCAGTACAAGCGCTGTAAGCCAGTCACTTAACACTTCATTTTGTCATAAAGACAGGAGAGAGATGCTCTCCCATGCTCTTGCTATGAACCAGGAAGCTGAAGGAAAGGCAACAGGATGGAACAAAGAGAGCCAGGATGTTTGTGAACCCTTCTAAAGCACCCCTGAGAACATCCTTATGCACCTGCTTCCCTGCTTGTTTTACAAAACAACACAAGCAGACCCACTGGTAATTTTCTGTTGAAAGAACCTCCTTTGGTTCTGGTCCTTAAAGGTGTTGATGCTACGCTCAAGTGCCAGCCAAAATACCTGAAACCACCCTCTCCCAAACACCATCATAAGTGCTAGCATGCATGTTGAAGCTTATAGGGATTGTGTAAACTTCATTTTTCTGTTTGTTTGAATAAGGTTGAGCCAAACTAGCAATGTTTCCTGTGATACTTACTTGCACCTGTGTCATCCCACTGATCTTTGTGTCTCGTGTGGACTCTTGCAACCCTGGAGAGGTGCTGTGTTGAAATGCACTCTCCATTGTGCACATCCCCAGGTGTGGCACTACATAAACGCTATCTGGTTCACCTTCCCTTTGCTTGTGAGTAGCAGACAGATACTTAACTTTAGGCAGGTAGAACACCAAAGGCAGTAATCCAGGTGTGGATAACCACTGTACACCACTCTCGTTATTTCTCAGGCAGAGGGATTTTAACAGGCCTGGACTAACTTTTTGATGTACATGTTGAGAGGAACCATTCCAATACAAAATGCCTCAGTTCTCTCCTTTTTGTCTGAATGTGACTTCTACTGATAAGGGTGGGAATGACATGAACTTTCCTAAATGCACCCCTAGAGCTGCATTGTGCATCCTATTAAATGATGTCTCTCAAGAAACATGACCTACTTTGGTGAAAGCTGTTTCAGTTGTATTAGATAGCTTTCCCCCAAAAAGACAATAAAAACCCCCAAGAAATCCTAGAAAATCCCCAGGAAGGAAGAAGTCTCCAATCATATTCAACTCTTACACTGCTGGTTTCCACTCATGGAACTCAGAGAAAAGCTTGTCTCTAAGGTGATGGTTTGTACCCCCAAATAAGAGATCAACTACTTCAGGCTGAATAAGCCCAAAACAGCCAAGTTCCTGTGTGCCATGTTTGTAGCATTTAACACATTTGAAAAGCCCAGAGATAACCTGGTTCCAGAAGAGGAGCAAAGGCTTAGTAAAACTCTCACAGGAAGGCTTTAGCAGGACTGGGTGGATGCATATGGTCATGGAGCAGGACAGTGTGCCAGGCTCTGTCTGCTCCCCACGAGGAGATGTGACCATGATGTGATGCCCACAGGTATTTGCATCTGTCAGGCGTGTGACACATGGCTGCATTTCATGGGTTCACGACTGAAAAACATTGTCACGGGGCCTCTTGTCTCTGGGAGGCATCCATTCAACGCTTGAGCTTTTAACCTTTGCTATTGTAAGGCTGCTGTTTTGGTACAAAGGGCATCCTCAGCAGGGGGACAGATGGTACTTTACCTCAGTAGGGCCCTTGTAACCCATTTGAAGCCAGAGCCACAGGAAACTGAGACTTGAAAGCACCTTCTCCTCCACTCCCTCTGTGATTTTGCCATAACAACTGGAGTTTGTTAGATGAAGATGTCTGTCAGAGTAGAGGGTAAAGGCTGGTGAAGGGCTCCTCTCAGGTGCTCCACGCAGAACCAGAAACCACACTTGAAAGGGATGATTAATGGAAGGTGCTTACTCAGGGACCATCTTGCTTCAGGATGCTGCTTTGCCTGAGGAACATGCTTTTAAACTCAATGCTGCAGCTGTATAAATCTACAATGAGGCTTTCAATTTCAGCCTTTTTTTTGTTTGTTTGGGTTTTTTTGTTACAGAAACTCCCATTGACTTTACATTTATGTATTTTGTAGAGAAAAACTGCCTACAGCTCTAGACTTTTCTCATCTGATTTTTTATCTGTAAAAGGTAATGCATACAAACATACAGCTAATCTCAGACACTTGTACATGAGAGGAATCAAGGTGAAGAAAGACTGCAATAACCTTTAGAGTGGCTTTATTTGTTGTACTGCTCAGATGATGCAGCAAGGTAATCACCACCATAGCTTTTCACTGGGCTTAAACAACTGTCATGTTTATTATAAATAAATCCACACCCTAAAAGTAGCATCTTAACACAATTGGCTGCATTTGCTTTACTGGTGTACAAAGTTCTGCTTTAAAGGCTATGTTTAATTGGATAGCATAACGATTTAGGCATACAACTACAATGACAAGTTTTATACCAGGAATGTAAACAGCATGCAACCCCCACAGCTTGTCAGTTTTAATAGCGTGTAGTATTTTAATAACTTGTGTTTGAGTTGTGGTTGGCTAATTCCTCTAAAATCACTATAAAATAGAGCAATTTACAGTTTTAATATTTCCCTTGATTTTCACATCTGGGGTGAATACTTTTAGCTTTTTTAGTCATTTTGTTTGGCCTTATTCCCCTCTTATACTTTTTTCCCCTTTAAACTTATAAGGCTGTAAGCCTTGATTTTTATTCTACATGTTAAATGCCTCAATACGATTTGGCATACAGCTGAGAAATCCCAGTTCTGTAAATAGGCATAGTGTTATACATTCCTAAACTCTAAAATTTTGTGTCAGTCTTTCTGGGTAATAACTCACAAACCACCTTTATTTTTTTCCTTTTTTAAAGGTTAGTATGTGGGCTAATTATCAAATTGGTGTTGTTCACCTGAATCTCTTCTTATCAGTAATTCAAAACAGTTGGTAGAAGAATTGCCATAAGAGTTTAACAAAAGCCAAGGGACATACACAGCAAGTACACTGGAGCTAAAAGATAGAGTAAGCTTGCTGTAGGTAAATTAATGTAGTCTTTTTTGTGAATTCCATCTTGTCTGGCTTGAATTTTTAAAATGCTGAACAATCCACTGCTGAAACAGGATGCTATTTACTAAATTCCTGCGGGGCTCAGTTTCACGTCTCATACTGAACTCCTTGTTTTTCATAAAAATATAAAAAGAAAGAAAATATACTACATCAGAAAGAACTGTATTTAAACCTCAGATAATTGTATGCTGTTCTTTGAAAATATAGTTTGTTTACCAGTTTAATGATGGCTTCAGTGCACAGAACCTTATAATTCTAACTAGCCAAATGGTCACATTACTTTACATGGTACCTTGCTTTTAACTGTGATTTCACATTTATTGCAAGACTACGGTAGTATGCAAAAATATACATAAGACATAGGTAAAAAGTTCAAAAAGTTAAAGATACCTGGTAACTTAATAATAATGTTACCAAAAGAAATTTTTTGACCCTGATCAATGCCCCTTGTCTTAGCTCCCTTGATTGGAACACACATTTTGGATGAGGGTTCTATTCCCCAGTACTAGGCAGCTTTCAAAATATCTTTAGTTTTAAACTAGCACTGCTCTGTTTTTTTCTTCTTTCCAGATTAATTAAGAATTAGTTGGTTTAGGGATGAATCTGGGAATGTATTTCCGTACATTTTCTTTGCTTAGTTCAGATCGGAGATTTTGTTTTGTAACCTCTCCGTTGGCTGCTTATTTAATTTCCGAAGTAGTGCTGTGATGGGGAGTTATGATTAGAGAGAGGAAAATCACCAGAAGTCCCTTGTGAGACGGAGAAAGACCTGATGGAGATGGAGTGCAGAGAGGCAGGGAGGAAAGGTTCATTCAACACTGACCTATCCTAAGCAGCTGGTATGTTGCATTCTTAGACAGGACGAGTTGTGTTCATGGGTTAAGAGAATTCTGCACCAATAACCAGCTTGCCAGACCCCGTTAACCAAAAACCAGTTTCACTGCAAATGGTTTTCAGGACCACACAAGTTAATTCTAGCAGCCATGTGATGCTGAGGAGGCTTGGTGGGGGCCACCTGAGCCTTCCTGCCTCCAGGCTGAGTGTTACAGGGCATCAGTTCCTGGTGTGGCTGTGCTGGGCTTCCTTCCTATGTAGAAAGGCTGGGTAGTCACTACTCTGGATATAGGGGATCAAAAAGCAACATGAATTTAGCATGTTTCATTTCTTAGCTTTCAGGTTTTTCATTTCACATTTCAGAGAAACTTAGCTGATCTTTCCATTCATCAAAAGGGTCATGGAGGTGAATTATTCCACAAATTGTCTTGCTTTCACATTTATTTCTTTCTTTCCCTGCCATTTCCTTCAGTTGACTGTAATCTACAGCCATCTTCCTTCATTTTTTTTTTTTCCATTACCTGATTAGTCTTTTCCTTCTTATATTTCTCTCAAAGCTTGCGGCATCTGGCAGGAGTTGTAGCTGTAAGTGGATTGCACTTGCTGTCAGAAGAGACTTGACTTCCAGAGGAGCTGTGCCTCCATATTACTTTCTCCTAGGTGTGTTTTGGGCTCAGTTCTTTGTGCCATTTTAGAAATTGTGTGGGGTTTCTTTGAAATTAGATGCAAAGTGTAATTCACTCAGCACACAGCTCTAGAAAACTGCTTTTGAGAAAAAGCTGATGTTCTGCTTCCTTACATCTCCTCAAATCCTAAAGCACTTGGCTTAGCACTCACATGGTCAGCACAATAATCTGTTCTCCTATCTGCAGGTATTTGCCATTTGGGCACGGTTTAGTCAATATTCAGCGGTCTCAAACCTTAGGGCCTGGCCTTCATGCTCAGCAAAGCTGTTCCCCAGAGGGAGCCCATACCGATAGCTCTCCACGCTCTCAGCTGGTTTGGATTTTATGGGGATGGAGTCGTGCTGGTAGAGCAACGCTGACTTTATCATCCCAAAGTCTTCCTGAATCTTCATCCCTGAGTAGATGGCACCCGAGACGTTTTCTGCCACGTGGGTGTAGCTCTGGAGGTTTTTCACGTCGCAGAGGCCGTCGCTGTATTTCAGCGCGGGTGGCTTGTAGGCCTGGTAGGACACCTTGGTGGTGGTGGTGATGACGGTCTGCAGCGGCGGGGCGGCGGGAGCGGGGCTGGGGCTGTACCTGCACGGATACTCCCCACTGTAGTAAGGGTGGGGAGCACTTGTTGGCATCTGCCCGTAGTCACTGCGGTCTCCGCTGCCGGGTTTCCCCCACGCTGGTTTCAGTCCGTAATGCCTGCCAGGGCTGTCAAAGCTCTTATCGTGGGTGGTCACAGCGCTGTAGTGAGACCCGTTCAGACTGAGGGGGTCTGCATCAATGGCAGGACTGGTCAGATCTTTGTAAA